TTAATGATCTCATATCGTTCGTTTGGCCGATATCGCTAAGTTAGTAAGATATTAGTCAAGAAATGATTACAAAGTCAATGGAAGTTGCATTGTTAATTGTTAAACACAAGTAAAAGTATCAAGAGATGTGTGTTGAACGAGATATCAGATTGAACCTCTTCAACCAAAGAGTGCAATTATTTTTTTACTAATATCTTACTAACATAGCGATATTGGCCAAACGAACGATATGAGACCATTAACGATTGTGTGAACAGATTTCTTGAAAAGGGTCCAAATCTGGGATCGAAACTTTGGCCAGTGTAGGTCATTTAAAAACTACATATCATTGGTTTAAAACTACTGGCGATATTAAATCAATTTGTGAGTGAAAAAAGAACGTTAAAAATATCAATTTTTAATAATAGAACCGTTTTTTTCTTGACACTCGGTGTTCTTATATACATATAGAATACGCGACAGCGGATAATACCTTTTCCTAAGGTATTATCTTATCGCGTCACTTATGCTGCCAGCGAATATAAATTGACCTTAAAACGTTTCCCGCGCCTACAAGCATGCACTCGGCTCCTATGTAAATTAACCCGCTCGAGGATAAACGTGCCACACATCTGTTAAATGCGTTATCAGGTAGACAAAGGCCCTCTTGCAGCTGCGCCATAAAAAATTTATGAAAGATCTAAAAAAATCGAGCGTTTGAAAGTCAGATCTTTTCCCATCTTCTTTATTTGCCAACTCCTCTGATGAACATTTAATGCGTCACAATTTTTCATCTCCCAGAATGAAATATCCATGGCAATTAGTCCGTAAATTAAAATTTCATCGAGCCCCTCCGGAAACCGGTCTGAAGAACATTTCTTAATTTCCAAGATTATTTAAAGTATTGAAGAAAGGAGATAGCTGAGAAACTTAACATGGAAGTCGTTAACTTTAAACGAATGTAAGCCGGAGGAGGCACACGATCTAACATTGAAGCAGCTGCAAACGACTTGTGTAATCGCGTTTGTGGATTACATCGTGCGGGAGAAAAAGAAGCGCTAAAGTAAATTTCGGCATACATTTCGTTACATGAAAGCCTCCACCGAGCAAGTTACGTAGCATTTACGTAAACGTTGGTACTCTTTTCATCTTTTTTATCCGCACGGTTGAAACATCACTGGACCATAAGACCGTCTTTGCGCTCGCTCGAGCTGTACTACTGGATTAAGGAGTAGTATACAGCGGCGTGGACGGCACGCAGAACGTGACGATCCCTCAACCATTTTATTTTTACGGGATGTTGAGTACGAACGCGCCGCGTCATGAGAAAAAACGCGGAACGTTCTATATACATAATCCATCTCAGACTCTTTAATTCCAGTCGAGATATTTTAAACATACTGTTTTCATTTAGCCGTACAGAAAATTAGAAATTATTAACGTTCTCATCCACTAATACTCGCGTCGCGTAGAAACTTATTCAAGTTCCTTTTCGAGATCTGCTGCGAACAAGCAGAAAATAAGTGTAAACAATGTCGGAAGAAATGGCAAAAAAAGTGACAATCCGAGCGCAGATTTCTAAAATTATTAAGTATTTATTGAAGGAAGTGTGCAAATATATTTATAATGCCGCAAATTCAATGGGATTACGAATTTTCAAATTCGTTCGATTGGATTCTAAATCGGATTATAAAAATGTTGGGCTCAATAAAACTTCCGGTAAAACTTTTAAATAATCTTTTTTAAAAGTAATTAAAAAATTTCAATTTTGTTTAGTGTTCTTTGAAACGAATGTTGGAACGAAGTTTATCAATAATACATGTGAGCATTTCGATGTTGTCTCGATAGACAAACGTGAAACCGTGCGAAACGGCATTCGATTTCGAAATCATTTCGTGAAATCATCTCGCACAATCGTTATGTCGAAATAATTGATCTGTAATCGGTGCATGGAAACAGTTGAAATGATTATTACGAGGGGAAAACCGCTGACCAAAGTTTTGTAAACTACTGCCCACTTATCCCCAGTGGGCATTACTTTATCTTATTATCTTATTTTATCTTTATAATATCCCAGTAAGACCTAATGCCCAAACTAATACCCAAAAAATGCCTAGTAATGCCCAGTAATGCCGCAAATCTGTACACCACAATGTCCTCGGCGGTTTCCCCCTCGGATTATTACAACGAAACAGCAATGATCCCGAAAAAGCGGATATTTCGTGTCTCCTTAAATATAAAAATACATGAAAACGTCGGTCGATGACAAACTACTTAGATTTGGATTCAATTTCGGGCAGGGCAGATTTTCTCTGTAATAATTTTCGGCAGACGGGCTCCTCGAGCACTAATTTGTCGTAGTTTCGCGCATTATTTAGTCGACGGATTTTATCACCGCGAGTTATTAGACTCACAGTTTTATCACAAGCCGCGCCGCTCGCCCAGCGGAAATATGCCGCGCGATATCTCGCCCGACGAGAAATATGCGTCACGAAACGAAAGTTCCATTTACGCGCGCGCAGCACGCGGTGAATTATTATTTTTCGACCAGCCGGAAATTTCTCATTGTCGGCGTTTCACAGCCGCTTTCGGAATGTCGTCAGTCTCGTTATTCGACTTGACAACGAAAAATGTAAAATTCAATATTCCTTGCAATTTTTGTGACATTTTTTTCGGTCCGCGTTTGTATTTGTAAAAAAAATCCTGTCCTCTCTTTCGTGCATCACAAAAGTAATCGATATATCGCGCGCGCGTATGTATATATTTATAAAAATGAGACCAAAGTGCTGTATCGAAAAATATAGTCATTATGACGTTTTCAGTTCAGCTCGACAAAATACAAGATCGTCACATACTGGATCACATTTTTCCATTAATAATTGCGTTCATTTGATTTCTAATACACTTCACATAACTCGATAAATTCGATGAATTCCAGTAGCGTGCTCCTCATTTATTCGCGAGGAGCGCAAGGCCTTTGTCCCGGCCGCGCAATTTTACGCGACAACGATGATAATCACGAGGAATTAATCGGCCGCATAAATAATTTCAATACTGCGTTATTATATGTGGAATTCGATCATGAGCCGTCGCGCAAAGAGCGGGAGGAATTTATCAGAAATACAATTATCGTAACAGTGCACCGTGTCGCGTCACGCGAGCGAGGCCGAAAAATTGTCCGAGACGAGTGCAATAAAAATAATATAACGGGGCACGGCGAGATATGGTATAAGAATAAAGTAATGGCCGCTCGTGCACGTTTATAGAAACAAATTAAAAACCTCATCTCTCCTGGAAACTCGACGCTTTTGGATGTATCAAAAATCGCTCACAACGAAATATCCGTTGCTGCGTTTTACAATTAAAAGCTCATTCCCCGCGGAGCTTATTTGACGAGAAAGCACGTCGAGTGAAAGCGGCCGTCGCGCAATTTGCGCGCAGTAAAATTTATTACGCGGGCTTTCTGTTAAAAGTTTCCAGCAGGCATCTATCTAATTGCGAATACTTGAACGGCATTGTGGAAACGAGTAATGTTAAGTGATAGCAGCTTGAATCAAATGACATTTACATGAAAGAAACTGGACTTTCTTTTTCATTTTTTTCTTTCCTTCGGACTCACAGAAATTTCGAGAATGCTCGTTCGACGGACTTGTTCCGTCACACGCATGAATGCGCTTATTCGTGCCAAGTCTGTAAGAAAACTTTATTTCATCCCGCGACAATTTTATACCAATAATTCGATTGTCAGGCAGTAAATAAGAGCAATAGCAGCGAGAGAATCGGAGTTTCTCGTTGCAATCTCGTTGCGTCTTACAAGTTCCATTCAGTCCGTGGCGACTTCTCCATTGGCACACCGGCTGCTAAATTTCGTCGGGTCCACCACGATGGCACTAAGCCGCATTTACGTACATTCAACGTTTGCGGCTGCTTGTGACAGCAATAACCTGAAAGGCTTTCGATGCCAGCAGCCATCTATCTCGTCGCGAGTCTGATCCGATCCAAGGAGTATTACCGCTATTGCGTCGGCGAGCGGGACCCGTTGATGCGCACATGTGCTTTCCTACGTCGGGCTCGTCCGCTTTTAACGCGGCTGATGGAGACGAAGAAGAAGAAAGAGTGAAGAACCGACACGGATTTATCTCGTCTCTTGGAAGCTTCCATGTGAGTAAAACGAGCGAGAAACGTTCGTTTTACGAGTGAAACGAGCATTCCTTTATATTACGACAGGGAATATGAGAATATAATCGCCTCGGTAATATCAATTTCATCGCGAGGGAGAAACGTGATACAGATATCGTCTTAAAGATTCCGACGACACGAGAGATCGCTCGTACTCGCGTCGTATTGAATTTATTTATTTTATCTTATTTATTTATTGCTACGCAGAGAAAAGGTTCCTCTGGCATTTCTAAATTGATTAAATCCAAAGAAATCGTTTTCTCTGTGTACGTAAGAGGTACAGAGCATAGAGAAATCTGATATTACAGTAGCGCAATGGGTGAGGCACCGACAAAGTAGTTGCTTCAACGCCTACCTGATAAGAAAATTAGAAACAACGCAAATTGTCACAACGCAAGACTACAAAATGAAAACGAAAAGTAATACGTATATAAATACAATGAACCAACTAAGCAGCTGCGAGAATAAATACAATAAGATTCAGAAAATTCTATAAGCAGAAGCATATAAGTAATTCTGTCGTAATTGA